CTTCTATAATAACTATGTATAAACAGAACAATTTCATCCTTTCCCGAGCCAACTTGTCGAGTGAGTTAATTGGTTTTTTAAATTGTTTTCTTTAATAAAACAATAATTTTGAGTACGACATGATTTATTCTTTAATCCATTGTTTTAAGTCTAGAAATATCGCGTTTATCCAACGAACTAAATCCAACGATAGACGTAGTGTTCGTTACGTAGTCCACGTCCTGGGTGCCACGCGGAGGTCTCGATCGAAGAGAAGCTAGTGGCCTAGTTTGTTACTCTTACCGCACCACGGAACACTCATTTAACAGCTTCTTGATAGGTAATCCACTCCAACCGTTTCCTAATGTAATGAACTATGAAATAGTCATCACAAGGCTTAGTGAGAAGAGCCTGGGCTCTAGACGTCCCGCATCAGGTTGTGCAAGAGAGGCATCGAGTAAAAAGACGATGATTTGTAATTCAACATCTCGCTTGGAGACTTGTATCGGGCTGTATGCGCATATGAGTAACGGTTTGTTTTGTGGCAATCAGATAACCGGGTGTGTGGAACGTGGAGAACGCTTTGGTTCATGTGCTATGCGTGTGTCAGCCTTTATAAAGGCAATTATGGTGTGGGTTGGAATCAACGTCCACGCCCGTACCGAACTGATTATCATTCAGAATGGATCTTTGACTGCGCTAAGGTTGAGGAAGTTCTTCTGGTAGCTGTCCCATTAGCTTCATTTATTAGGGACAACAATGTCCGGCCGTATATAGTTCGAGTTGTCACCCATTTCACGGAGGGTGTAGTGATTACCAAATTGGCAAGCAGGTCCTCCTGATATGAACACCATAGAATACTTATGGACAAGACAAAGAAACGGGTTAGACATCGTTCATCAGCTTTCCAAAAAGCGTTGAACACCTACTCTAATAGCCAAATCCTCCAAGAAATAAACACGATGCGGTCTAACATAAAGGTAAAAGGAACAAAAGTTACATTTATGTACCCAGGTCACTAGAAAGTTACAGAAAGTATACTGGCAGACTCAGAAGCACAAAAAAACCGGCAAATGTGGATTTGACTACTGCTAGGATTTTATACAGAAAATAACAAAAGGAGATACAAGAATGTTGGCAACATAAATGGGCATCAGTGTCAGATAATAGGTTAAGGACAATAAAATTAAAAACACGGTACGAGTTTATTCTACACGTGAAAAATCGAAAGTATGGTTGAGAATAGGCCACACTCGTTCAATACACGGGAATTTAATATATGAAAGGATACTCCGCGACGTAACAAGTAGGGTTACAAAGTGTCATGTAAATCATAAGGTCTTTCGTTTATTCCTTGCATAAAAAATATGATACCATATGCAATTGCATTTGGTTGCAAGCTGGATAAAGAGGAAAGATTACTCGAAACTTGAAATAGTTTAAAACGTAACCAAATCTAGGTGCAATTTGAGTGTGGATTGGGATTAGAGCGAATAAATTGCTGGGAAATGTTATTTATTAGCGAGAATGGATTGAGACTGTTCACGAAAATTTTAACTATTTAAGTAATTTAAAGGCTTAAAAACTAATTGTTTCAAAAAATCGTACATACATAAATAGTTGAACATTTTCTTGCTTGTTATAAGCGTAGTATTTTGTTTTGGAAATTTCAGCAATTGGATATGTCTTGACGACTTTCGCTGTTTCTGGCCTGATCCTTCAATATTTTAACGTAAAATTTATCGAATTTTTTATATGTTCAGCGAGCTCACTTTTGATAAGTTAAATAATTTTGTCAATCGACAATAATTTTGTTTTGTGTTTTAAATTCGTCAGCAGGTTGTGCCCAATCAATCGTATCTATCCAGCTTCAAGTTCTTTTGATCTGTCACGTTTCGGGTCACCGGTGTTTCCAATGACTTTTCCAATACTGCAATCGTTCCTTAATCTCGGGTGTAAAATATATTTCTTTATTTCTTTTAAATTGCTCAAAATTGCATGCACTTTGGCATTTGCCATTTAAATGTTACTTTTAAACGTGGCAATTCTTTTGTTTCAGGCTCAAAACAATTCTGTGACGTTTGTAGGCGTTCTTGTTGAAAAGAACCGTGAAACCGTTTAAAATAGTAAACATCGAATCCGCATAGGAAATCTTACAAGGCGAAAGATTATTCCATTTTTTTTCCTTTTAACATTCTAATAACGCCATAAATAATACAACGCCATAAACGATCGCGTCGTGGGAAAATTTCGTATCCGAGCAATTACGCCGACACGTTCGAAGGGAATTAAAAACACGGAGGGAGAGAGGAGAGAGAAAAAGAGTAAAAAGTCACAGGGCCCATTTTCCCAAATGTTATCGTCTCCTTTTCTCACGTTACCGTTACGGGGTTACGCTTTAAAAGGTGGCCCCGTCCCGACAATGGATGGGAGCCGCTTCCTCCTCATTATAAGTCCAGACGGGGAGAGTTTATTTCCGTGTCCCTTTGCTCCCATATTATTAATAGCCGAAGGATCGGTTATTATTTCGAAAAGGTATATCTTTTGAGACTGTCATATAACCTAGGCTAACATATTTTTATTTGCACAATTAATTAGTTTCATTATAAACATAGATACTTTCTGCAGCTTAGTTGTTTTCGAGCATTTTGGTCTGCCTGTCAGTTTTGATTTGTCTTAGCATCTTTACTCCCTGGACATTCGGGGCGTAGAGGCAACGAAAAGGTTGACATGATGGCTAAAAAAGGAGCCAACATGGACTCTATGGGCCCAGAACCACACTACGGCCTAGCAGCTTGCCACAAAAGAGGATACATCTTAAATGGATCCTTAATGAGTCCAAAATTTGGTTGGACAATATAACAGATATGAGGCACGCGAAGAGATTCATAGAAGGACCATCCGCAAAACTTACAAAAAAATTACTGGAAGGCAACGACAACCGAACCAGGATTCTAGTTGGACTCCTGACAGGGCACTGCCACTTAAGAAAGCACATGCACCGGATAGGAGTACACGCAAAAGAAACACTGTGCAGATCCACAAAGAGGAGGAGACCGTAGAATAGGAACCTAAGAAGTAGGAAAAATGACGAAACGCATCGAGGATAGTCCGACAAAAATCATCTGAAATGCCCAACCTGCAAGTTCCAAGTGCAAGCTGAAGAAAAATGAGGAACAAATCAGGAGACAAAGGGAAAGGAGGAGAGAGAGAGAGAGAGAGAGAGAGAGAGAGAGAGAGAGAGAGAGAGAGAGAGAGAGAGAGAGAGAGAGAGAAACAGACAGACAGAGACAAGTTAACATTTGTAAGATTGGTCATCTAGTTGATTAAAAGTGGTGATTAACTTACAACGAACAAAAGCTTCGTTGTTTCAGAACGTTCTGGTATGCAAGACGCATTGCGCCAATTGGCCTATGTTTTTGAATTGCTTCGCCCTGTTTATAACCCTGATCAACTATAGACCTATGTTCACAGAAGGAAATGAAATGCAGAAAAGCGTCTGCAAAACAAACCAGGGAGGATAGTCAGACCAAAACCGTTTGATCAAGATACATGTTCAACATTCTGGCATATTTCAAGAAGAATCACAATCAATTGTTTTATTGAAAGAAGGAGAGAGGGAGAGGGAGAGGGAGAGGGAGAGGGAGAGGGAGAGAGAGAGAGAGAGAAAGAGGGAGTAATGAAGTGAGGGAGAGGGAGTGAGAGGGGAGAGAGAGAAAGAGGGGGCGATGAAGTGAGGGAGAGGGAGTGAGAGGGGAGAGAGAGAAAGAGGGAGTAATGAAGTGAGAGAGAGGGAGAGGGAGAGAGAGGAGGGAGTGATGAAGTGAGGGAGAGGGTGAGGGAGAGAGAGATGAGAGAGAGAAAGAGGGAGTGATGAAGTGAGGGAGAGGGAGCGAGAGGGGAGAGAGAGAGAGAGAGAGAGAGAGTGAGAGAGAGACCGATGGTAAATAATGATCCAAGGATGAAATTCTAAGCAGTTGTGTGCGTGCGTGTGCGTGCGTGTGTGTGTGTGTGTGTGTGTGTGTGTGTGTGTGTGTGTGTGTGTGTGTGTGCGTGCGTGTGTGTGCGTGCGCGCGCGCGCGAATGGCAACTACTAAATTCTTTCTCTGCTATCGTCTATAAGCGCTTTCACAGGGCAATCGTTTTACAACCACAAAAAAATTATTCCCATCTTTACATTACACAGCTGAAAGAGCATCCTACTCCCATGGAATTCGAAATCTCCCGATCCGTCAGACGCACACACAAAAAAAAAAGAATAGGGGAAAATAACCCTTTGTTAAGAAGGGACAATCCGCCCAGGGTACACGACAGGACAAAAGAAAGTACAGGGGGAGGAATATTTTAAGGATATTATTAAATCCTGACCTGAACCCAATTGAAAGAGGCAGACAAACTACATATAAAGGAATTGAGGGAAAAGAAAGGGTTTAAATACGATATATTGGATATATAGTCGTTCTTTCAGGTCCAGTGAAAAAACAAACAAATAATGTAAAAAGAATAAGCTTTTGTTGAAAAATAGGCTCATGTGAAGAGGCTAAGGACAAAACAATCAGACCACAGAAGGAAATATATCAGTGTTTATAATATAACCTTGAAGGAATAAGGCAGGAATTACAATCTAAATAAACAGTAAACAAGCGTAAGAAAATAAGACACACAATAATTTACATTTAAAAAAGCAAAATCTTACCACTTGAGCAAGTGGAAAAAACCTTAGTAAGCCATGAATTTGTAAAACTTATCATTCAAGTTTACGCAATTTACAAGGGGAAAATGTCAGGCGTTGATCTTAGCTTTGATTTGTTAAATAATTATTTTCAAGTCGAAAGACCGATCGAACTAGGCCAACCTGTTATCTGGTTATTTCAGAAAGCCATTTTTCTTTAGAATTAAGATTATTTTGGAAAAACGGCAAAATCCATGATACTCATAAATATTAATAAATCACTTTCGGTTTCAAAGACAACGGTCAATTTGTTAACCCTCCAAGAGAAGAAAATAGCTTTGCGAATTACCTGAAAGTCCACCAGATGTTGAAGCACATCGTGTTGAGCCAGAAGAAAGCCGCCAAGAATATAAAATGCATCGAGATGGCTGAAACAAAAAACGAAAAAAATTAAACATTTACATTTAACGAAGCGTGAATAACAAACATAACCACGATTTTAACCGAGTCATGTAATCGTGAAAAATATAACTCAAATCGTATTTTTTCGTTGGGAACACCATAGAGGAGGAGTTGGTTGTCGTGTTTCTTGTCACTTAATTAACTTAGAAATGTACAGAATAAATTATCCGAGACATATTGCATTGTAAATAGAAAATTAATTATAGAAAAAGTCAATATTAAAAATTCTGTCGATATTAGGTTATTTTAAAAAGGTGTGTTTCAAAAAACTGTGGAAAATTGATCCTATTGAAAAATGCCTTGAGCAAAAAGATTAATACAAGTTGGTAATAAAAACAGACAGAATAATTAAATTCACTAAATTCGTGGTCCGCTTGACCAATTAATATATTACAATTAATTAAGGTTTTTAGTTGAGATAAAAAAGTCAATGGCACGATCGGGATTCGAACCCACGACAAATGGCAAAAAGGAGGGAAAATTCAAAAGGTGCGGTTGAGATGGGAAGTTGCTGTCCGAGTGGATCGAGGTCACGATAGCTTAAGTGGTAGAGCAGCGGCGTATCAAGCCGAAGATCGTGGGTTCAAATCCCGCTCGTGCCATTGAATTTTTTATCTCAACTAAAAACCTTAATTAATCGTAAGACAGAATAATGATATATAAATACTTCTATTGATTATATAAATGGATGGATATCGGGATAAATGATTAAAGGTTAGATAGGAAAAAATGATCGATTTGATAAATGAATATATGTTTGTAATAAGCAAATATAGAAAGTCATATACATTTTTAGACAGGTAAAAATATTAATTTGTAGAAGGAAAAATATATTATTGTATAGATAAATATGTGGACTACAAATAAATGGTAACGAAAATATATATAGATGATAAATAGACCAAAAAATACGTTAATGATACATAAATTCATCTATTGATTTATAAATGTTGATTGACATCTATTGAGGATAAAATAGATTGATTAATAAATGGATATATGGACAGATAGTAAAGATATATGGATAGTTAGAAAAATATATTTACAGAAAAATAGGAAGATATTACAGATAGAAGAATATAGAAAAGTAAAATTGATGGTTAAATTCTGTGGACAGATTTGCTACAGAGGTATAAATAAATAAAAGGAGAGGTAAATAGGTAGACACGGATATATTGATGTACGGCAAAGTAAATAAATATTTAGAAGGAAAGAATGTTCGAAAGGTGGAGTTGAGATGGGGAGTTGGTGTCCGAGTGGATCGAAGTCACGATAGCTCAAGTGGTAGAGCAGCGGCGTATCAAGCCGAAGATCGTGGGTTCGAATCCCGCTCGTGCCATTGACTTTTTTATCTCAACTAAAAACCTCAATTAATCGTAAGACAGAATAATGATATATAAATACTTCTATTGATTATATAAATGGATGGATATAGGGATAAATGATTATCCAGTACTGAGCCGAAGGTCGTGGGTTCGAATCCCGCTCGTGACGCTGACTTTTTTATCTCAACCAATACCTTACATAAAAAGAATAATTAATTTAATGAAGTTATTTGGTCAATCGGACCACAAAATATAATGGATGTATGCATAGAACTGTTCGAGATGTGATAGATGATGGATGTATAGAGGATCCATACAAAAATATATTGATAAAAATTAAAAAATATAAATGATTTTACTACAATAGGTTGGATAAAGTATAATATACATCAAAGAAATGCAGATTTAAACAGAAAATAAGATGGTTGGAAGTGTCATACAGTAGGAAGAAAAACGGATGGATTTATAGAGGATATTTCAACAAGAGATACGATTGGGTCTTTGGGTCATTGGGAATATGGGTAAATAAAAACGGATAGATGTACACAAAATACTGATTAATATTAAGAAGAATTGCTAGACAGGTATAAATACAAATACACACAAATAAATAGATATATAAAAAATTGTTGGATGAATGCAAGTGTGTATCTCAAAGGTAAGTCAGGTACTTTAAACAGGATTCAACCGATTTTCTGAAACTGGTAAACTGTTAGACCATTATGAGAATGATGATGGCACTGCGTCAGATTATCTTAGAGCATCATGACATTAGTGACTATTACATTTTGTTGGTGATTCGGCAAAACCTTCAACGCTTGTGCTATCAACTACTGACATTACTCCAAAGGAAATGTGTACAAGAATATAATTTAAACAGAAATATTCAAATAATGTGGAAAAATTCCCATTCAACTGGTTGTAAAAAAATACGACAGATCATAAACCAATCTTGTGATGTTTATATATCAAGATAACTAAGTGAAAACAAGTCGGTTTTTCTTGTCATTGTTGATATTTGACCAATAAGCTGAAGATGTTTGCACATTTGGTAGAGTGAGTAGATCATAATAAATATTCCGTCGTTTTTTTTTTGTTTTTTTTTTTAACGTTGCCCAACATCAGATTGGGATCATTCTAAATCGCGAATTGGCCAACCAATTGGACGACTGGACTTAAATGGACATCACGGGCAGGAGTCTAAACGTCATGCCTTTAACGGACCGCTTCTCTCAGGAGGGCGCAAGGTGAACTGGGTGCCGCGGCGCACCCAAGGTTCTTTTTTCTCTTGCATAACTCTTGCTCTTCTTACGCTACTTTTCACATTTGTGAATCGGATTTACAAGCCGGCCCCAATCGAAGGTGAAAATCGGCCAAAGTGAAAGCAAAGCGAAACCGTTTCGCCGGACAGAGGGCGATGTCGCAAGGAAAATTTACCAAAAGAAAATGGAAACCACGCCGTTGTTTTTGGAAGCTATCGGTGAAACTTTCACTTCTACAAATCAATCTCCTTTCTTACAAGATTGTTTTTCTTTAACCCAGCTATCATCAATTTTTGAATTTAATCCTTAAAAAATAAGTTTCTATTGTAGTCAAATCACGTCAAGCTTGTTTTTACAATCTCACAAAAATTTATAACACTCATTTTTATAATAAATATTATTACCAAATAATCAGTTATTTGTTTCAGTCAGCAAATATGTGTGTACAAGGTGTTAGCAGAAGATAAATAAGCTACTCTTTTTGATTAATTTTTTCTGCGTTCATATTTAATCGACCTTCTCTTCACTATTTTTCTTTTTAAGGATTTTTTTGTGGTTTAAACCCCCATGCAAAAGATTGGGTTTATTGTGAGTTCAAGGAACGTGCGGTCCAATATAGATTCAGGGAGAAAAGCCAGGATAAAGGATCAGCGAGACATCCTTCCAAGGACAGCGAGGTTCCTTGCCCTTCCCTCCGTTGACAATCGGTCAGTAACGCTTTAAGCGAACTCGGCTAATCGAGCTGAAATTTTAAAGGTTCTGGAAAAAATCTCCCTAAAGACCTTTCTCGTTAAATAAACACGATTTCGACAAGTTGAACCATTGACCGATCGTTATAACCACGGTCTAGTTTTTTCACAAAAAGAACAAGAATAGTTTTGAAAAGTTGGAACGTCAAAGCTCGTTTTAGAAAATCTTGAAGCATGAAGCTACATCTAATTGAATAAAAAATGAACCATCTTATTAAAGGCAAACAGCAAAGACAAACTGGCCCAGGGGTGATAAAAGTCAATTTCACGGTTACACCTATGATCTATAATTCTTTAAGATTAACCGCTGAGAAGAATGTTTCCTATGATAAATGGCTGTCCGAACCCTTCCGAAGATTCGAAAGTTGTATTCGGATTGAAATAAAACACTGATCGTCAGAGCTTAAATTGTCCGTATGTTTTTCAATTAATTAATCTTTTCATAAAGCATTGGTTGAGGTAAAAAGTCAGTGTCACGAGCGGGATTCGAACCCACGACCCTCGGCAGAAGAGTTGAGATAAAACTGGTAAAAAGAAGGGAAAATTTGGAAGATGGGGTTGAGGTGAGAAGTTAGTGACCGAGTGGATCGAAGTCACGATAGCTCAACTGGTAGAGCAGCGGCGTATCTAGCCGAAAATCGTGGGTTCGAATCCCACTCGTGACACTGACTTTTTTATCTCAACCACGACCGTACATAGAAAGAATAATTAATTGAAAGGATACAGAAAAGATGATAAATATCAGTAAGTTGAATAATAAGGACAATGATGCAACATACCGCCCACCAAAATACTAACTGTTTTCTTTAAATTATTCATTTAACGGCAAAAAAACAATAAATTAAAATATAAAAAATATAAGGAGAATAATTTGTATGAGAAAAGAACGAATTTTCGAATGTTCCAAAAAGGAAATCAACATCAACTCCGATTAATTAATTGAAATTCGGTCAATCGGACAACGAACTCTAATGAATTGTCCATATGCTTGAAAAATAAACTTTAATAAAATTTCTCTTTTAATTTTTTTTAAAGAAAAATGAATTTTCTTGAGTTTTTATAGTATTAGCAATCCTTTATAAATTTTTATATTCAACTTTGTCTAGTTCTAACCAAGCAATATCGTATCAAGAGCGACGTCGGGGATATAAACAGGTCGAGGCAACACATTGAACTTTTTTTTTTACAATTTTCCCTGTGTAAAATACTTGTTGAACCGTCGCTTTATTCCGTTGTAACAAAGCGGTTAATAAAATGAACTTTTGATGCAGATTCGTAAAAAATTATGATTAAAATTGTACTGATTCATAGATCGGTCTGTTTCTATTATTATAGTCTATTAATTGGTATCGACATGAAGGCCAAAACGCAAAGATAAACGTGAACGACTCACCAGATAAAGTATCAACAGTACCACGGTCAACGCAACCATCCAAATTTGGTCCGTTTGTCTGTTCGGGTTTGATTTTATTGACTGCTCTTGCGAAAGTTACTGTGAGTAATAGAAGGTCTTCATTGCTTTAACTATGCAACAGAAGAAAAATACTTTTAAAGGGTCGTAATTATTTGTTTGAATTTTTAATGAAAGTAGCTAACACAGTAGATCATGGCTAGAAGGTTTAAAAAATAT